TATTTAACACTAATTGCAAACGGTGATAAAAATAATTTGGAAAATTCACTGAAACCCAATTAATTTACATGTATTTATTAATTTCACTTGCTCTTGTGTATGTCATAAAAATGATTTCACAAAACAAATTTGAAATTATTCAGCTGTAAGTGATTTGAAGATCATCAAAAGAGATAATAGAAATGACTTTTTGCCTAATTTGGCCACTTATATATATAAAAGATGGGGATGCTATGTGAATGTGTATTGGGTGGATAATGGAAATCTGGTATATGTAACTTCAATGATTAGCTGATAGAGAGAGGTGATTTTATCAAAGTCAGTTTTGGAAATGGAAATAATAACACTTATTACCGGTAACTGGTAAACCTCGTAGTTGTTTACTCAGAATTAATAAGTAGAATTGCATGCACGTATCAAACACCGGGTTATTAGTTTATCTAGATTTTTTAAACTTACAAATTAGCAGTTGTGGTTTTGTTTAAACAAACAAACTGAAATCAGCAACCTCTTCGATCATAAAGATGTTTACCAAAAGCATTAGGAAATTATTACAATGGGGTCACTATTTTAAGTAAATTGACATTTCGCTTGATATAAGTCAGTTGACAATAGTCGACAGAAAATCCTTGAACCAGGTTTGATTGTAGTTAATATTCATAAATAAAGTATATACGCATTATTGACGGAATTGGTGATCCCAGTAGGATTTTGAATTCGTGTCACTCAATATTAAAATTAAACACGTTATCACTGATGCTAATGGGATGCAATTGCACTTTTCTAGAACAAGGAGAATGAAGACAGTAAAATGTATGTATTGGAGATGATTTAACACTAGATTGGTCTGTCTGGTTATTCATACAAAAATATCATAGAGTTTATAGTGTTGCAAACTATCTTTTTTAATGGTAAGCCGGTTAAGCTGCAAACTGGAACGGGGTCTGATATAACATTAATTTCTAGAGAGACTTGGATAAAACTTGGTCGACCTCAATATCAACCTACATATTATAATGCTAAGAGTGCGACAGGAACTAACATTACTCTTCTTGGAGAAGAGCAACTACTTCTCAAATTTGGTGACAAGACTATAACCGGAAAATGTTAAGTATCTGGAAACTGTCACACCAACTTATTAGGTATTGTTTGGATAGATAAATGTGGTTTATGGGACCTGTCGCTGAGCACTGTCTGCAATATGATTAATTCATCAGCCTAAATAATATTTGGCCGACCAATTAGGACATCTTTTGATGTTTTGAACCCGAAAGACAGAATGAATGGACTACAAAGAAAGAAGAAAGGGAATCGCCCGAAGACTTGAGAATTCAAAGCAGGTCACTTAGTCTATACACGTGACTTCCGGCCTGGCGGTATTGTCTGAAGTGATTGTTGAAAATACACTAATTATGGAGACAAATCAATCAACTGCGAGACAGAAAAACATGTTTATGAGTCATCTAAATCCAAAGCTTTACCAATGGAAGTATTATGTATTACATTTAATATCCCGCAACCGCCACAAGTTGAAATGAGAAATAATGGGTTGAAATCAGAGGCTAGCCGAAGGTCAACAAGGGAGTGGAAACAAACGCGATTTTTTCAAATAGACCCAAAAGTGAAGTCATACGATCAAACTTCGCAAGAGAGGGGATGTGTGGGCGAGGATGACAATGATTGGTTGTCTGCTTAGTCAGACATGCAGATGGTCTGACAGGTGTTAGATGAGTTATATATTCCCCTATCCTTATTATTAGGACTCACTTATTATTGATTGTTCGTTGTTGTTGGATTGTGTCGGGTTTTGGTGTGGAAATATATTTACGTTCTAATCAGGCTAATCATGTGTTCTTGATCCGAGTTGTGTTGAAGTCCTGTAGAATAGACACTGGGAGGGTAGATATTAATCTAACTTAAATTAACATCCCATACGTGTAAACGTGGAAAATCAACCGTTATAACACAAACCAAACTTTCTAGCTACGAAAGACATATTGGTCGTAATCGAAGTTCCTAGCTAAGATGTACCAGAAAATCCCGTTATACTTTAACTTTGCAGTATGTAATTATTCTGTTCTCCATATACATTAAATGATCATTTATATAGCTCCTATAAAATATGTATATATGTATGTATAGGCAGCTTACTCGTACGCTTTTGCAACTGACCTCTCAATCAACAACGGATACGGTATAGGACTCTATCCCTATGCTACATACATTCTACACCTTTCTCTTTTTCTTTGATTTTTTTTATCCTGAGCCCACGCCTCCAGCCATCGCCCGTTTGGTACCGTCGACTTCAGTCAATCTTGATGAAAGCTGGCCTGATCACCCACACTTTTGTCAACGCACTCAGTCGATGTTCTGGCTCCGAATATGTCTGGCATACGTTTGGTCTTGAACTTGGTTGTTATGGTCGCTTCTGGTTTATTGGCTCAATGTGGTTCTGTCCTAAGTCTGCAGCGTTTTCCGGTCCGGACCGCTGCAAACGCAATCCTCAGATTCTGGATAAAAACCACTCTGGTGTGGTACGCCCACTCGAGTAACAAATGCAGCACGGTTTTCCTGGCACCGTTCCACGTAAAAGACCTTCGGTGACAACTTGGGGATCAAAGATTGCTTGCTGTTTGTCAGCTCTTGCGTCCTACAACCGCAAGTTTGCCGATCAGTCCCACGAATGAAACCGCTACGTATTGAAAGTGTAACTTCTTTCCAGAGGAGGGCTCCTGTAGCGACCTACTTTTACGAAAAGAAGGCGATTCGTATAATGGAAAGAATCATTATGATAACCAATTTTAACGGTGATTGTTCTACTGTATCTGTTTGTTTAAGTGTACTAAAAAGACACATTATTCCGTTGTCTGTGAACTTGCACGAACTCGTGTACGATCGGTAGTCCCGTTTATAAACTTCGGCGCCATCTCGGTATTATTTCGATACCACAAAATCGACAACCAATACATCTTACTACAACCTTCAATCGCCTTCAGATATTTGGTCTGTGGAGGGATCTAACCTGGTAATTGACACGTAGTCTTCCAGTAGTGGTGATCAGTGAATGGACAGCTTATGCTCCTTGGTAAGTTGTTCCGAATGTGGGTCTGTTATCGATCCTCTGATTTTTTAGCTGTAATTTGCACATTACTTGACTTGAAACTTCTCATCAAAATTATAGAATTTGTCTCTAATTCAGTCACTTACGGAAATATGATTATTATTTTCTATTTAATTTTACTAAACAATATAATTTAGGAACTACAGAAGAACTTTATTGTTCCCAACGAAACTCAAATCACACTTTACTGAAGTATATACTGATGATGTTACCGAGAAAGATAATGAAAGCTTCGCGTTTACACCATTCAGCTCGGAGAAGAAAACATCGATAGACATACTCATCCCATTTACTCTAATAAAGTCGTTTTCACTCCACTATCTACATACCAATAGTAAATTTGTGAATTTTATTGAGATAATTTAAAAATTCACAACTTGACCAGACAATTGCATTGAGATCTTTTAAAAATAATCCTGTACTGAAAGTTCAACGCTACCTTTAGCTCTTCTAGAGTTACTGCCAGTCCCAAGCCCGGGTAAAGGACGAGGGTTGTGCATGGGGTTAACGACCCCATCCCGTAGAAAACTAACTTTCTAAAAAATACGCTAACCAGAAAAAATAATTCGAACCATCTAAACTCTGCCCTGGGAGTTAGGTCTTCATTTAGAAGAACTATGATGCCTCATGGTGAAAGCCGAGTTCCTTAGGAAGTCACGAGGCGAGTACTATTGTTTATTAACTCTACCAACGTTAGTAGGACATAAGCGTATTCTATGATTGTTCTAGTAAATTATAATCCTATTATATTATACGGACCCCTAGTGTCCTACTAAAGAAAAACACAAGGAGTTAAAATTCTATACTAACATAATTTATATAAGCTTTCTCATTCTTATAATTTCTTTTTTAATTCAATTGTGTGTAAATTGCTAATGAATGTGTTCATGTGTAATAAAGATATGTTACCATAAAATTCAAAAAAGAAGTGGTTGTATATCGGAATATCGAAAACAAACATTTAAATAATAATAATGATAGTAAGCGTAGGGATTACCAAGTAAAAATTCTTTACATTTCGTGTAAGAAATTTGGTTACTGTAAACCGATGCAATACAAATAACTTAAAAAAATCCAAGGACTACTCAACAAAGGTCCTAACGGTTTTTATATTTCCAAATTAATGATGATTGGTTTCTTCTGATTATATTGCTATCTAATCATAGATGAGGCTTGAAGACCAATATGCTTCTACTTGTTTTTTTGGTAACCTACAATCTAAGCCGTATTGTTATTATTATGGGAGAAGCAGTTCAGTTAAGGAAAGTATAACCAGGTATGATTCGTTCGGTTAAAGAAGTTCCTCTCACTTACATGAAGGGAATAAAAGAAAATTACAACAGGACTGCCACAAGCTTCTATTCTAAGCAATATCTGATAATGTTTCAATCCACTGTGTTACACTATATGACCACAATTAGGGAGTCTTGAAGAACCGACAGACATCAGTCCTGTACAGCTTCCTTTCATACTACTGACTACCTCTGCGCTTTTTCTAACCAGTTTCGGCGTTGACATATAACGCCTGACGTGTAATTCACTGGGACGACATTTGTAGTACATGTTCAAGGCACCAAAGTTAATGTTTCGAAATGGTGACATCAGTCGAATTATTATCAACTTAATTTCAACTAATGACATCTTGGTTAAAATTTCAAAGCTTAAACCAATGTAAAACAATATAACCTGTAATTAATCTTATCGTAACACTACACCAATTCCTACAAATAGTCAATAAAAGTTTTTTTTAAAGCAGGATAGTATCGTAATCCATGACACAATGATTGATTATAACATTTCACAGATTCACATGTGTTTTACCTAATAGAACCATTAAAAAAACTACTTACTGTACGATTACAAACAGATTCCATATACAATGATTTCATTAAAATCAATCGTTGGTGAAGTTCGTCGTGAAAACCTTTTAGAAGAATGGGAAAAGAAGAAAGCTGCATTGGTAAGTTAATCTGTTTTATTTTAATTGCTTTTATTTATTCGATCGAAAATGTTTCGTTGGTAACTAACAAAGTGTACAGCAATTTTCACTTATGTAGATTTTAGCTTTCTATTATGATGGTTACAATAGGTTTTTATTATTTCTAGGATACTTGGATCAATCAGTTTGAATTCTGTCCTAATTTACTGCTTTCCCAGCTGACGTTGTGCACTGTGATAAGCGGTGACTGCGCTCGTTTAACATATTTCCTACCCACTTTAATCGATAAAGACTTACACCTGGTATTCTACACTGACTATTGGCATAATTTATTCAATGGTTCCACCATAATTAAACAACGCTTTAGCAACATTTGACAGTCAACTCATTTCTCCTACTTTTAAAGACAATTTATCACAAGAATAACGAACTTTAGAGTGAATTGTCAATAAACAAGTGTTTATCTTGCTGTTGACACAAATAAATTAAATAATGGACACCCGAATTGTAGTGGGAGAAATCAATTCAGCATGGACATGTATCAGTTGTCCATGTTCATAGTTCTTTTGCTGTCAGACATACTGAAGCTTGTAATCGTTAGTTTCTAGGAATCAAACTTATTTTAAAATCCAACTGGTTGAAGAAGCGTTAGAATTCACTAGTCTAAAGTAAAAGTTGTATGCCTATTATCATTTTCACTTCCATCAAAATTTATCCGGCTTCTTGATCACCTTCATTATAATTCACTGATATATATATAATATATAATCTTATACTGTCAATTTTAGCTTGGACAAATTCCCAAGGTCGATACACCTGCTATTAAACGAAATAAACAAAAAGGTAGATCAAAACCTGGCCGAATCGAGGCAAAAAAGCAAAATATACACTTTGAACGTAAAATGTTTACTATCAAAGAAGTTTTAGGTGTACGGGAAGCAGAAGAGAAGTTACGACGAAAAGTTTCTTACAAAAAAATTAATGATATAAGCACATTACCGAGACCTAGTGAAGCTTTAGTAACAAAGAAGAAATTATCGAAAAGACGCACAAACACTGCTCTTGATGTGTTGATTCCACCAAAAGAATTTTAATTTTTAAATCTTAATTTCTTTATCGTTCTTTAACTAACTGTTTGTCTTCAAGTTCTTTTCTTAGATTTCCCACTAAACTTTTTTCAAATCAACGAATCTACATTTTATATAAAATTGTCAATGATTGACAATTGTATTACTGTAATTTACTAAAATCATAATGTACAGTTTACATTTACTACAAAAAAAGAAGTATTAAGAGGTTATAGGTGTGTGTGTGTTGTTAATGTACACCATTAACAGGATTTTCTCAGCTTTCAACACGTCACTTATATTCAGTCCATTTTTTTGTTGGTGCCGATACTTAGTTGAATCTCAGTTAGTATCAGTTCCACCACTTTTCCATGCCAATCTAGTACTAACACAATGCTTTTGGGAATGAACTAAATTCTTTGTATCACTTGAAACCTTCAGATTTGATGGAGATGTTATTACTAGAACCTCAGACTGGTTCTAGATCGCATGCTTAAGTCAAACCTTATATACTACTATTTAACGTCTGCGATTCACACGCTGATAGCACACGACATCCAGAAGTGACGTTTTTAGCTACATTTCTAATCTAATTATCTTTTGATGTGAAAAATATTAAGACACAGGTTTTGGTAGAGTTTGTTTGATTTATAAAGAGACTTGTTAAGTCTCCGAAACACACACAGGATCCTAGTGTGTTCATTATAACCAAAACGGAAAGCCGACGAGGTATACACTCCGTTTATCTGGCAACTCGGCAGCAAGTTCTCGTGCACTGGCGGGTATAGAAAAAGCCATAAGTATGAAAGCAGAAGTCCTTTTAGAATGGATTCCTGTCGACAGTCGCCTATGTGCTGTTCGGCTAAACAGATCCGTAAGAGTTCGGAAGGATAGAAATACACGTCGAGATGGCAGTGAGTAGGACTTCCTTCTCGGTATCTGTATACGGGAGGCCATGTGAGAGCATCTCGAGAGAGAGGGGATTCTCCCTACCCTCGACCGTACCAGGGTATTTGGGGCTTTGAATTCAAAGCAACCTCAGTAGGATTTTCGTCATGGATTGAATTTAGCTGACAGGCAGTTGAAAATCCTGAAGCGTGAGATTTCTGTTTGTTCTTAGCAGTGATATGTTCGGTAGTACACATTCTTGATACCGCCAATAGTGGAATTTAAAGCGTTGACTTTCGACTAGAGCGAACTCACTACTATGAAAGTTCAACACTGTTGGGTATGTGGCAGTTACGCACTAGTGGTATTGGAAGGAGGTTGGGTTGGAGTTAAGCATACGAATCAGTGAATGCCAACACAATGGTCTTATTTTCAAGCTTTTCCTGCGAGATATGAAATCCATGTGTTTGATATCGTGCGAGGTTCAAATTGTGAGTTGCTGAGATGTGTAATTTTAGGACGAGGAAACTTTCCACTCCTTCCTGATTTTCAATTGTTATTTAAACAAGGTATTCCCGTCAAGTAGACTATAAAACCCAACAATTTCTACAAATCCCATAAATTGACTTAGATTGCTGAGTTGGAAGCCTTTGGCCTACATTCTAAATTGCGGTCGATTTATAACCAAAACAAAAGCCATCCATTGTTATTGATAAATCTTCCTCAAATTAGATATACTTTAAATACATCACTTGAAGCTTCTCATCAAAATTATAGAATTTGTCTCTAATTCAGTCACTTACGGAAATATGATTATTATTTTCTATTTAATTTTACTAAACAATATAATTTAGGAACTACAGAAGAACTTTATTGTTCCCAACGAAACTCAAATCACACTTTACTGAAGTATATACTGATGATGTTATCGAGAAAGATAATGAAAGCTTCGCGTTTACACCATTCAGCTCGGAGAAGAAAACATCGATAGACATACTCATCCCATTTACTCTAATAAAGTCGTTTTCACTCCACTATCTACATACCAATAGTAAATTTGTGAATTTTATTGAGATAATTTAAAAATTCACAACTTGACCAGACAATTGCATTGAGATCTTTTAAAAATAATCCTGTACTGAAAGTTCAACGCTACCTTTAGCTCTTCTAGAGTTACTGCCAGTCCCAAGCCCGGGTAAAGGACGAGGGTTGTGCATGGGGTTAACGACCCCATCCCGTAGAAAACTAACTTTCTAAAAAATACGCTAACCAGAAAAAATAATTCGAACCATCTAAACTCTGCCCTGGGAGTTAGGTCTTCATTTAGAAGAACTATGATGCCTCATGGTGAAAGCCGAGTTCCTTAGGAAGTCACGAGGCTGATGCCCCTTCTAACAACCAGAGCAACAATTTTTATAGGTACATGGAACGTTCGAACAATGTGGGAGACCGAGAAGACCAGTCAAATAGCAACAGTAAGAGGAGATACAAATTGGCAGTACTGAGAATCAGCGAAACCCATTGGACACAAGCTGGACAACGAAGGCTAAATACGGGAAATACTCCACACACTCAAGGAGTTGTTCTAATGCTGTCCAGAATAGCAAGAAATGCACTTGTAGGATGGGAATCTCATGGATCCAGAATCTCCAAAGCATTATTCAAAACAAAGAAGGAGGGAATTACTATGAATGTTATCCAGTGTTTTTCACCCACCAATCATGGCAATGACGACGATAAAGATCAGTTTTGCCACAGGCTGCAATCAATCATAGAGAAGTACCCAAGAAAGGACCTCACCATTCTGATGGGAGATCTAAACGCCAAAGTCGGAATAGACAACACCGGATATGAAGATATCATGGGACGGTATGGACTGGGAGAGAGAAACGAAAATGGGGAAAGATTTGCAAATCTATGTGCATTCAACAAATTAGTCATATATGGCACAATATTTCCACACTAACGTATACACAAAGCTACATGGATCTCACCGGACCACACCACAGAGAACCAGATAGATCATATTTGCATCAATAAAAAGTTCCAAAGGACGATGGAAGATGTGAGAACCAGGAGAGGAGCTGGCATAGCTTCAGACCACCACCTAGTTGTGGCCAATTTAAAACTGAAGCTAAAGAAGAATCGGACAAACAGCACTACAAAGGTTTAATACAGCCTTTCCTCGAGATACTGACAAACTCAATGAATTCAAGGTAGCTCTCTAAAACAGGTTCCAAGCCTTACAGGATCTGCTGAAGGGAGAAGAAACTACCATGGAGAACAACTGGTAAGGTATCAAAGAAGCAGTAACTTCAACGTGTCAGAGGTTCTGGGCCTCATCATAAGGAATGGACCACCATAGAAACACTGGACGAGATCAAAGAAAGGAAGAACAAGAAGATAGCAACTAACAACAGCCGGACACGAGCAGAGAATGTCCAAGCACAAGCTGAGTACGTAGAAGCATATAAGCAAGTGAGGAAGAGCATTAAAGCCGACAAACAGAAATACGTGGAAGAAGTAGCAACGACGGCGGAAAATGCTGCGAGAGAAGGAAATATGAAACAGCTTTATGATACAACGAAGAAACTATCAGGGAAATATAGTAAACCAGAGAGACGGGTCAAGGACAAAGAAGGCAGGCCAATCACTGAAATTCAAGAACAGCGGAACAGATGGGTAGAGTATGTCGAGGAACTCCTGAATAGGCCGGCTCCAATGAATCCAACGGACGTCGAAGCAGCACACACAGACCATCCCATACATGTCAATCCACCAACGACGGAAGAAATCAGGATGGCCATCAGACAAATCAAGAGCAACAGGACCCGACATTATACCAGCCAAAGCACTGAAGTCAGACATCGAAGTAACTACAAACATGCTTCACCTTCTATTCAAGAAGATTGGAAGGAGGAACAAGTGTCGATTGACTGGAAAAAGAACACTTTATCAAGATTCCAAAGGGAGGAGATCTGAGCAAACGTGAAAACTACAGAGGCATCACACTACTGTCAGTACCAGGGAAAGTTTAACAGAGTGTTGCCGAACCGGATGAAAGGCGCAGTAGACGCCTAACTTCGAGATCAACAGGCTGGATTCCATAAGGATCGATCGTGCACAGACCAAATCGGGACACTACGGATCATCGTTGAACAGTCACCTGAGTGGAACTCGTCACTACATCAACTCCATTGATTATGAAAGGCGTTTGACAGTGTAGATAGGAGAACACTTTGGAAACTTCTTCGACACTATGGAGTTCCTGAGAGGATTGTCGACATTATTCGGAACTCGCACGACGGACTACAGTGCAAAGCCGTGCATGGAGGACAGCTGACAGATGCATTCCAAGTAAGGACCGGAGTCAGATAAGGCTGTCTACTCTCTCCCTTCCTTTTTCTTCTGGTGGTCGACTGGATTGTGAAGACCTTGACATCTGAGGGAAAACGCGGTATACAATGGACAGCTCAGAACCAATTAGACGATTTGGACTTCGCAGATGACCTAGCCCTCCTATCGCATACAGACGAACAAATGCAGATATAGACAGCCAGTGTAACAGCAGTCTCTGCATCAGTAGACCTCAACATACACAAGGGGAAAACCAAGGTCCTCAAATGCAACACGGAGAACTGCAATCCAAGCACACTTGATGGCGAAACTCTGGGAGATGTAAAATCCTTCACATACCTGGGAAGCATCATCGATGAACAAGGAGAATCAGATACAGACGTAAACGCGAGGATTGGCAAAGCAAGGGCCGCATTCCTACAATCGAAGTACATATGGAACTCAAAACAACTTTCAACTAATATCAAAGTCAGAATCCTCAATACAAACGTCAAGGCAGTTATACTGTACGGAGCTGAAACTTGGAGAACTACTACAACCATCATCAACAAGGTGCCAGTATTTATAAATAGTTGTCTACGCAAGATACTCAACATCAATTGGCCGGATATCATCAGCAACAGCCTACTGTGGGAGAAAACAAGCCAGCTTCCAGCTGAAGAAGAAACGAGGAGAAGACGATAGAAATGGATAGGACATACATTGAAGAAATTATCAAATTGCATTACGAGGCGAGCGCTAACTTGGAATCCTGAATGGAAGCGGAAAAGAGGAAGGCCAAA